GTATATATGTAGTTGCTGATTATGATTGAACAGAAGACTATATACTATTAATGAAGGGTATTGCCACTTTTTATTGTCTATGAAAATTCTTTGTCCCATTTCATTTTCCTTTTAGTAATTTATAAGATAGAGTCTCTCGGGGATCACAACTAGAAAAATAACTAAGTTTGTTTCTTCACTGCAGAAAAGAATGCAATTGGCCATCCATGTATCTCTGCAATGTCTTCAAAATCATATCTCTGTAAATACTGCTAGCTCCAAGTGAGACCTTGTCTTCCACCCAGGTTCAATAATAATCAGATCATTTTCAAGTATTCTCTGAAGAGATTAGAGCAGTAAATTGTTCAATGATTTTTTTCATTGCCCCTGCATCCAAAAGTTCTCTGCAAAGTGCTTTCTTATGCAAGACTGTGTGGCCATTGCTATTGCAGGTGAAAAGATAATTGCATCCCTGAGGGGAGATTAGTTTTCAGAATCACAGGCCCATATCTCAATGAATAGCTGCCATTTTAAGGCACTGGACTTAGTCACTGAGTCTAGAGCACAGAGAACACAATCCCAGCAGAGACAGTGGTGAGGTTTTCTAGCAGCTATGTTGTGTGATATTTTATTTGTTTTCTGAAAAATAAAGCACGACTGGAGATCAGGGAGCAGAGCTAGCAACTAGTTACCCATAGAGGTCTTGAATCCTGTGCAGACAGGAGACAGGAAGTGACAAGGCTGGCTGAAGACAGAAAGTGACAAGGAGGAAGGTGGAGACAGGATCCTGGCCACTTTTTGGTCTGAGGATTCAAAGAGGTAAAAAATGAATGTGGCTGATTCTTCTCCGATCTTTCAGCTTTTACCAATATATGACTCTGTGTTTTTATCATTAAGACTAAATAGGATTGTGCCTCCTCTGGTGTCCAACTTTGGGGCATGAATTGAAGAAAAAGCCACTTGCCTGTGGCTTTCAATCCACCACTCACTGGCACAGGCCAGATCTGAACATGGCAGGAGTCATAGTCCTGCTGACTATGTTTTTCTTTCTTTTCTCCAAGTCCTCTGAGAGAGTCTGGGATATTTCTATTGCAGACTCTATGCAGCAAAGCCACAGGCACATGGGATCCACATGCTGCCTGAGTGAGCCCCTCACCACCAGCCAGCTCTGCCTTTAGGAAGGTTCAGCTGAAAGTACCTCTTCCGAATATATGCTAATTAGGAGTGTGTGTGTGTGTGTGTGTGTGTGTGTGTGTGTGTGTGTTTAATGTTTTCCAATTCCGGGGCATTTATTTTAAAGAAATAATCTAAAATACAAACATATAGGCTGCATATATCTAACCTAGAATTACCTTTTTCCTTTTTTGAGATTATAACTTAATTACATTTATTCCTTCCCTTTCCTCCCTCCAAACCTTCCTACATATTTCTAACTCCCCTTCAAATTGTTATTGCATACATATATTTACATAAGTATGTTAATAAATATAACCCGTTCAGTCCTTGTAATACTGTTTGCATATATGTTTTCAAGGCTGACCATCTGTCACTGGACAATGACTTCATGCGCACATCCCTGGAGAAGACCACGTCTTCTGCTCCCAGCTTGCCTTGGTTGCCTATAGTAGAGTCGTGGCCTCAGGGACTTTTCATTGTCCTGTTTGGCATGTTCATTGGTGTCATCCTTTTTTTCCCCAGATTTTTTTTAATTTGAATTAGAAATAAGATTATTTTACATGACAATCCCAGTTCCCTTCTCCCTACCATCCTCCCCTACCATCCTCCCCAACTAAAACCCTACGTATCACATATCCTTTCTGCTCCCCATGGATGGTGAGACCTTCCATAGGGTGTCATCAGAGTCTATCATATCCTTTGGGATAGGGCCTAGGCCCACCCCATGTGTCTTGGCTCAGGGAGTATTCAACTATGTGGAATGGGCTCCCAAAGACCACAACTATGCTAGAGATAAGTATGGAACTACTACAGCAGGTCCTGTAGATTTCCGAGGTTTCCTCACTGAAACCCATGTTCCTGGGGTCTGGTTCAGTCCCATACTGGTATCCCAGCTATCAATCTGGGGAGCAAGAGTTCCCCAATGTTCAAGTCAGATGTTTCTGTGGGTTTCGCCAGCCTGGCCTGGACCCCTTTGCTCTTCATTCGTCCTTCTCTGCATCTGAATTCCAGTTCAGTTCAGTGATTACTTGTGGGTGTCAGCTTCTACTTCTACCAGCTTCTGAATGAGGGCTATCAGGTAGCATATAAATCAGTCATCAATCTCATTATCAGGGGAGGGCATTTTAGGTAGCCTCTCCTCTGTTGCTTAGATTGTTAGCTGGTGTCTTCTTTGTAGATCTCCAGACATTTCCCTAGTGCCTGCTTTCTCTGTAAACCTAAAATGTTTCCCTCTTATGGTATCTCCAATCTTGTTATCTTCTACTCTTCCCCTGACTCAACCTTTCTGCTCCCTCATGTTCTCTGCATCCCTCCTCTTCTCCCCTTCTCATTTTCCTAGCTCTCTCTCCCA